TGAAGAAATGGGAATAATCCACAATGAAATAAAAAAAAAGAATATAAATTGTAACGATAGAATATAGATAAACACTGAAATCAAATTATTTTTGTTTCTTTGCAATAGCATTAACTTTTATCACCTCTTTTTGTGCAACACGATCAACAGCAACTTTTCCTTTGATGGCATGTTTTTCAGTAACTTTTTTAATCTTTTTTTCAACTTTCTTTTGAGTTTTATTTACTGCTTTGATTTGAGCGTTAGCAACAACACGAGCTGTTTTGACAAAACCAAACCCTTGTTTTTGTGCTTGAATTCCAGCTTTAACACCTGCTATTGTAGCAGCCTTTTTAATCATTCTACGTCCTTTTTTTTCAGCTTTTTGAATTGCTTTATTTGCTTTCTTTAATTGTTTTTTTTCAGTTTTTTTCACTATTTTCTCTGATTTTTTTAATTGTTTTAATTGTTTTTTCTTAAGGTCGTCTTTTTTTGTTGTTTGTTTTGAAGTTCCTGCAATTTTTTTAACAACTTTACTTACTCTATTTTCTGCTTTTTTTGCAAGTTTGTGAGTAACTTTAGAAACTCCTTTAATAAATTTAGTGATTCCAAGAGTTTTATTCTTATTATTTTTTGGTTGTGGTTTTCTTTCTTTCTTTGGATTAACACTTTTATTATTTTGTTTTTTAGTACTTGTATTTTTTTTAACATTTTCTTTCTTTACTATTTTCTTAACGCTCTTTTTATTAAATTTACTGTAACTTTCTGTTGGATGAATAGCACGTGCTTTTTGTTCTGGAGTTAAGTTATGATTAACAGGTTCTGGGATGGGGATTGTAGTATTTAATTTTTTAATGTCTGGGTTAGTTTGATTAGTCTTAATTTCAATGGTTTTATTATTAACTTTAGTGAAATTTGTATTTGTTGGAAGAGTATTGTTAATTAATAACTTAGTTGAATTGTTTACATGTGTTGTATTTGTAAATAACTTGGTGGAGTTATTAATATGTGTTGTGTTAGTAGATGAATTAGTAGAGTTGTTTATATGGGTTTGGTTATTAAGAACACACTTAGGACTTTCTAGGTTATCCATTATTTTTTCAACTTTTTCTTCTTTCTTCTTCATTTGATGAATCTTCTCTATTTTCTTTTCAGATTTTTTTTGTTGTTTCTGTGCGGCTTTGATTTGTTTCTCTTGAACTTTAATCTCTTTTTCAATCTTATTTAATGCTTTGACGCTTTTCTCTACTCTCTCAACACTATCAATTAATTTATTTCCATGTAACTTAACTTCTTCTTTAATGGTGGCTTGTTTTAGTGCTTGTCTCTGAATTGGAATATCATGTTTAGCTTTTTGTAATTCATATGAATAGATGAGAGCATTGATTTTATTAAATTTTAATTGTTCACTAAGGTCTTCTTTTGTATAAATTGCAGTTAATTTTTTTCTAGTCTCTTCGTCTTCAGCCTTTTCTAATACTAAGTACTCATCAACAGCATCATGTCTTTTAGCTTTTTTAACAACCTTCTTAGCAACTTCTCGAATAAGTATTTTAGCTTCTTTTTTAGTAAAGTCTTTTCCATTTAATTTATTCATTAACAATGTTGTTGTAGTGAAATATACCTTTCTTCTAACAGACTCAATAAATAACTGAATTTTAATTTCTTCATATGGTTTGAAGAGTTTTTCTGCTTTATGCTCAGCCATGTCTTCTGCTATTTCAACAGCCTTTCTGGCATAATGAAGTGCTTTATTTTCTGGTTTACTGAGACACTTCATATCTACTGTCGTATTTTTGTCATTTATAACATCAAGTCCCATATCTTTGATTTCTTTTTCGTTTATTTCTAATGAGCCCATAAGTTTTTTTCTTAAGTCAATAACTTCTTTTTTCCCTTTAATAAGTTGGCTCTTCATTTCTTCTACATTTGTGGAAAATACACTAAAGACAAGTAGAATTATTATCACAGTTTTCATTAAATACTATACTTTTATAGTTCTTTTACTAGTTCTTTTAATTTTTTTGTTTTTTTTTAATGATTTTTTTATATAATTCTTGCTATTGAAATTAGAAATATTTTTATGTTTTAAATGACAATTAACAGTAAACATAAATTAATAGTAAAATTTTAATAAACAAACCTATCTTATATTTTTATAAATGAAAAAAAATTATTTTATAATTATTAAAGAAATATCAAAATGGTTAAATTGAAAGAGCTTTAATTTAATACCTATTACGAATGTACATTATATAAATATACATTATATGATACTAATACATTGTTATTAAAATTTATAAATTAGTTATTAATTATATTAATTACAAGTTACATAAATAATACCACATTGAATATTATAAAATAAATAATAAAAAGGTTATCATAATGAATAAGATATATCAGAATAATAAATATTTATACATTAATAATTAATTCATATCTATTTAGTATATAGAAAAATAACAAATTTACAAAATCCATCATATTGTTAAAGATGATAAGTATAAACAAATTGAGTTATTAATTAACAAAAATAAATTACTAACATAATATCTATTTCATAATAATATAAATAAATATGTGATATTAGTAATTATAAAAATTATAGATATAAGAATAATA